CTCTGAAGTATTATGAAAATTTCTGCCTGGAATATAGAGGCGAATCCACACAAGTGCGTACTAAGTTTGAATTTGGGGCATTCCCCACAATTTCCAAAGCCTAAAGCGAGGTCTTACAAATAACTACTCCAATCAGCCAGTCTCCTTTGGAGGGTAGTTCTACTATGTACGTTTTGTTAAAAGTGTATAGTAGATGCATGATATCTGAGATCATGCAGAATACTGGTGTTTCCTTAATTGAGTCGAGTAAATTCGTCAATCTTCAGGAAAACAAGATCAGACCGCCTTGGGCATTAATCCTATACAAACTAACCCTCACCTCCTCATCTATAAAAAAAGATCAAAGGGCATTAGATTAAAAGCAGCTTAATCTTCAGTGGAGAATGGTACTAATTTATCATAAAATTATGGTGTAACTAATTTGTCCACCCGTCTCTTTTTGGTAAAGGATATTATAACGGTTTTATCAACATTAACTGGTAAATTGTAATCCTTACAACAGTTATTTAAGGTTTTTAGGGCTATTTGCAAGACTAATGATAAAATACTTTAGAAAAAACCGCTCACGATGACAATAAGGTCATCAGCATAACCCAGTGTGTCAATACCAAGGTTTGCCATCTTGTACAATAGTTGATCAACCGCATTTTTTATAGGATAGGGTGACAAACGAGCACACGGTCCACCTGATGGTAAGTGGCTGCTGCGGCCCATGAACATCTACACCTATCCTCGATTACAAATCAAAATGCAGATGCGTTACCTGTGAGGACTAAGATAGAATGCCTCGTTTCCAGTAAAAAGGGTCTCCGGTTCTCTACACTCACCATACGAAACACGGTAGCATTAAGCTACTATTTCATTCTGGTATTCTGGGAGAGCGTGGTCCTTCCGCGGTTGAGCCGACCCATTCGTGCTACAACTATACTATTAATATAACTGCAGCATGGCTCTTCCACGTATAAATAATAGTCAAAAAAAGGGTAATAAAACACCTCATTGTGGACAGCCTCTTATAATCTAATATATCTATTTTTAATATTTTTCAATGTCTTAAGAAGAAAGGATAGTCTTATCAGGTCTAAAGGACTTCGTTAAAGCGTAGTCCTTTCTATTAGCCAGGTATAAATAGAATTTTGACGATTGTCCATCAATTGACAATTAACCCTGAGAATTGGATTGGCAGTAGTAACTCCAATTTATCTGTCTTTATATATATATATATATATATATATATATATATATATATATATATATATATATATATATATATATATATATATATATATATATATATATATATAAATTGATATTCGCATTCGCCGTTCGGATAAATTTGATATTCGTTTTCGGGAATTGTGACAATTTGCATTGGAAACTTTACGAAAGCTTTCAGACTGGCGAAAACTTAAATAGTGATAATTAAAAGAGATAAATAAGCTTTTGTGAGTATAAAGTAGGTAACACAAATTAATTTCAATTATCTGTAGAACGTATTTTCATTTAAATACTTAATCCATACAAATATATGTACTTAATTTATAAACATGAATTTTTTGTGAATATTTGGCAGAAAAGTGTATTTTTATAAGTTTTCTTTCATTAATTTTACAATTATAAGCTGTCATGCATAGTGTAATCAATTATTCATTGGCAAATCCACAACTAAGAAAAAGAGACGCTAAGGATGCAAACAATGATCCGAATCAAACGGTTTCGCGATTTGTCAAATCCGTACGAGGTTTCAAAGTACTTATTGACGCAATATGTACTTGGTCTTGGCTGTTGTGACAGAAGCCTGTATGGCGTCAAAACTATTATTCAAGCTCACTCCCTATAGATCTGAAGGTGAATAGTTACCTAGTTATTGAACTCAGTACCGTACCTAAGTTGTTACTTACTTGTTTATTTAAATTTCCTTTTTTACTTAGTTCCTTTGGCCGTTTCGTACATGGCTCCTATCCAAAATATTACAAAAGATGTGGACATCAAAGTTAGCCAGCCTACTTCCAGCAGAGCCATTAGTGAGGCAGTGGCTGCTCTAAATTATACGAGGTTATTAAAAAATGGTTTAATTTCCAAAGTCGTCCTCAAATGGAAGCAACTATTTTAAGGTGAAGAGTTTCAATTAAGTTTAAAATTTCATTGATTTACTCTGGTGAAATGTGTTACCATAATCACAAATAAAATCAGTTTTTCTGGCTGAAAAATAGTAGAAATTTACTACTTAAAGAAATGAAGATGAAATTTCACCAAGAGACTACACGCAATCGCAAGTATAAATGAAAAGGAAGTTTTTTAAAGTATAAGGGTGACAAATGAGCACATAGTCCACCTGATGATAAGCGGATGCTGTGACCTATAGACATCCACATTTAACCTCAATTTAGTATCAAAATGCAGATGCGACAACCCCTGAGGACAAAAATGGAATGACTCGATTCCCAGTAAAATGGGTCTCCGGTTCTCTATACGTACCATACGAAACACAGCAGCATTAAGCTGCTACTTTACGCTGGTATTCAATTATATATTATCGATAAAAAGTTTATATTTATGTTGAATAACACTTATACATTTTCATCAATATCCTTGAATTTACAGGTTTGGAAATTTCATTCAACCTGCATATAAAAATAATTGACCCTGAAGAATGAAAACTAATAATATCAGTTCATTACGGCTCTATTGAAGTTTTACTAAGAACCTTTTTCCTTAATTTTCAATAGGAGTGAAATATAAAAAAGGGTGAGAAACTGTGTGATAAAAGAAGAGTGTGGTTTGCAAGATGATGCAGTGACCAGGATTAAGAAAGGAATGCTTCGGTGGTTTGGTCATGTAGAAAGAATGAATGCGGAAAGACTGACAAAGCAAATATATGTTGCAGAAGTGAATGGAAGAGACGGAAAGGGACGTCCTAGGCGGAAGTTTGCCGACCAAATTGGCGATATACTAAAAGTGGGCCAAATTAAGAGTACCCTTAACCGACAAGCATGTATGCGTAGGTATATGGATGTGGAAGAGGCGAGGGAGGTATGTCAGGATCGTGCTAAATGGAAGTCTGTAGTCTCTGCCTACCCCTCTGGGTGACAGGCGTGAGTGTTTATGTCTATGAAATATGGACTAGCTACCTATAAAACTAAAAAAAAAAACGTTAATTTGCCAAGCAAAAAAGACATACTTAACTAGTAGTTAAATCAATGACTTACGATGCTGCAATTAAGTTATTTTTGCTTGTCTCTTTCATACCAAAAAACACGATATTACATTTTACCACTGCAATACCCAATAAGCACATAAATATTATATACTGGGTATAACATTAAGTATGTTTTAAGTATTTTTTATTACCGGCATATTGCAACGATACAAAATTGTACTATAAAATGTTACTACAAAACGTAGGAACATAAATATTCATCACGTTTATGGATTGTAAATATAGAGATCAAGTGCGATATTTTATATTCATATAATACTAGCTTTATGAAGTTTATGACCGTATAGTTTGCGATGTAAAAATATCCACATACCATATATCGTCACCTGAGTTTCGGAAGACAGAGGGAAACAAACAAGTATCGTTTTCCTAATTACAACAAAAATGCAGTGCAGTTGGCAACCCGCATATCAAGCATTTCAACTATAACAAATATCCTCCCTATGAGGTAATCTATGGGAAGGCCTATGTTCAGAAGTAGATTTTTGAAAGGCAACGGTAACGGTAGGTTTTTGCCGTGGCGTCGCTTACATATGCTTCAGTTTAGCAATATCATTTGTAATTCATGACAAAATTAGCAAAATGAAACACTTATAGTCAACTCGTCGTCTGTCGTTATCTGTCTATCACAGATTTTTCTTTGAGACTATTTCAAGTACTTAATTGAAATTTAGCATTTAGCATATTTATAATAAAAGCAATTACCTAAATAAGTATATAGAAGTGAGTTTTAAAAGGCCGGCAACGCATCTGCATTACCGCTAGTGTTGCATTTGTTCATGGGCGGCGGTAATCATTTACCATCAAAAGAGCTGTATGCTTGTTTGCCCCCTCTCCTATAAAAAAGTAAGTATTTCGGATTTATATTATATATGCAAAGTTGTGTTATGTGTGAGCAGAAACGTTTACAACAAAGAGCAGTTCTCCTGATGGTAAGTGGCATGTACACTTGCAGCCAACTTCAAAAAAGAAAGCTACAAATGCGCAGTCACCTTTGAGGACTAAGACAGAATACCTCCAGTGTGCAATTAAACTGACTCTTTTTATCCTTCAGATCAGAGCACAGCATTGCAATAACAGGTATTTAGCGACAGAAATAGGTAAGATATACAGAATAAGGTAAGATGATGGTACCCACCTAGACGGTCTCATAGGCAGAAAAGAAGCATTCCTACTCATGTTTCATTTATTAACATGCGTTAATCATACTTTTGGCAACACTGCTTGTCATATTTTGTTGTAACGGGCATATTTTCTTATGTAGTTTTAGAAAAGGTGAATTTACGTTATAATCTTTACATTTTTTAAAAGTTTAATAGTCTTATCACTTCATGTCAAAATATTTATTTACATTGCGTCGATATCATTAGGCCAATTAACACGTTAAGTGCGTTACCGGACGCATATAGCCGGTAATGTACCCTCCCGCGGTGCGAGCGCCAAAAACTAGTTTTTCTCGCTCGTGCGGCGTCATTTTAGGTATGATATTCTGTGAGTTAAAAAGGGACAAATAAATATCATTGCTTCTTACTTACAGACGGTCTTATTACAATAGAAAAAGGTACATAGCATATTTGACCTGTACGCACAGAACGAAAAAACATTGCATTCCATGCGTTACCGGACGAATACGACTTGTATGTGCAAGTCCGGTATCGCACTGTTGGCGAGGGCGTATGCATTAGTGAGAAACTGATCTTATTAGCGTTTAGACGTTTGTCGACATTTGTTATATTTTCCCGCCCTTTATATACGTAATAGTTACGACTTCAAATTTGCAATGAAGCGCTCCCGAAAAATATTAGCTCGTATTTTCGAAGAAAAAGAAGAAAATTATGATATTGCATTCAACGGCACAAGCAAAAATCAAAAGATTTTCCCTCCTGGTAAGAAAATCAAAGTTTTAGAAGATATAAAGATTCCATCACGTTCAGTTAAAACTACATCACCTGGGTCACATACTTTAATTTGCCAGTCAACTACAAGCAAAATAATTAATCCAGGAAAGAATACATATGAAAGTCCTTCTACTAGCAACAAATATGCAACATTACAGAATGTCTCTTTTCCTGGGAGTTCGAGTGAAGCTGGCTCACTTAGTGACTTATCGTATAATAATTTATTAAAAATTGATTGCAACCTGACACCAGAATCTATAAAAGAATTATTGTCTACGCCAAAGTCAAATAAACAGCAAACTTTAGACACCCATCATAAAAATAGTGACCCTAAACAACAAACCCTGGAGGATAGTAAGATTAAGATATGCACAATAACTTCCAAAGATTTGATTCAAGAAAATAGTTATGCAGTTAATACTTCACAAGCAATAGACTTATCATTACCAGCTACTAGCGCAACGGATGCAATATCTCATCACCTAGAACCCAATCAGCATGTAAACGAAGAACCACAGAATTTTAGCGATATAAGTACAGACAATGACAGCAATTATGTACCATCTAGTTCAGAAAGTTCTTCAAGTGATACGGAGACGGTATCCACGGCTGATGATGAAAATACTGTAGATATTCCGTTGATTACTCAACAAGATAGCGAATGGGTAGATATCACTTCTTCTATGCCTAATATTGGTAATTTTAAAAATGATACTGTAATAAACATTCCTCCCGATGTAACATCGCCATTTCATATCTATAAGTTATTTGTTACTGATGACATCATACATAAAATGGTAGCAGAGACAAATAATTACGCAAATAATTGCCGTTTTAATGAAAGTGTAAAAAATAAGTCTAGGTTGAAAAAGTGGCAGGACACCGATTTCGAGGAAATGTGCACTTTTATAGGTATCTTGATGACAATGGGAGTTGTCAAACTACCAAGCTTAAGTCACTATTGGTCGAAAAAGACATGTTATAAAAACATATATATTCAATCATTAATGACGCGAGATAGATTCTTATTGCTATTAAAATGTTGGCATTTCAGTAATGATACAATTGATCCAACGGACAAATTAGGCAAAGTTCGTGATGTTCTGAGTATGATTTTGAGCAAATTTAGTGAAATTTTAATACCCGGTCAGTATTTGGTTATTGACGAATCAATGATTCCATGGCGAGGACGATTGAAATTTCGACAATATATAAAAAACAAAAGCCATAAATACGGAATTAAACTATATAAATTATGTACACCTGAAGGGTATACATGGTCCGCAATTGTTTATACAGGTAAAAGTGACAGACCGGGAAACCAGCTACATGGCCATGATATCGTCCTAAAACTAATAAAAGACTTAGGTGGAAGCGGTAGAACAGTTATAGCTGATAATTTTTATACCTCTGTGGGTTTAGCAGAAGATTTATAAAAGAAAAAAAACTGAACTGTGTGGAACAATAAGAATAAATAGAAAAGGCCTACCTAAAAATGTTATATCTACTAAGCTGAAAAGAGGAATGTGTATTGGTAAAATGAATAAAAACGGAGTTAAAATAATTAAATGGCATGATAAACGGGCTGTCACAATGATAACAACGTGCAAAAATCACGTTGCAGCTGTTAAAGACATCGGCAAAAAAACACGAAATGGTGAGATAATTTACAAGCCAGAATGTGTATCTTTATATAATTTAAATAAGAAAGGCGTTGATTATAGCGACCAAATGACGGCATATTATTCATCATTGAGAAGAGGGATCAAATGGTATCAAAAACTTATGATGAGTTTTCTTTTTGGTACCTGTGTTGTTAATGCGTGGATCATTCATAATAATATAACTAACTGTAATAGTGGAGACGAACTGTCCACTATTAACAGACTCCGAGTGGTTTTCTTTAAGGTGGAGAAATGAAACTACTGTTTATGTTTATGAATGTACTGTCGAATGGGATTCGGAATGGAATATTTTTTGCATCAACCTTGCCTATATTTATATGGCTGGCTCACTATTGATTTGCCAATGGTAACAATTAATATTTTGCCTAGCCAATTATATTGCTTATTTTATGACCAATGAAAACTATTTAAAATATACAATTATCTACGTTTCGTTTCCCGGCGTGAGACTTGTTTGTTGTTCACGAAGCTACGTCGCTGGACCGGGCTATATAAGACATGCAGATCGGTGCGCACGCGTAGTCGGCGGGCGGCGGCGGTGTGGAATACAGCTCCGGAACAGCAAGAGGAAACGAACTGCGGCGTTGAAGAAACGGCTCACCATTGGTCGACGGATACGTGACGATAGCGGCGTGTGAAGTCGGTGTGTTTATAAGAACTTCTTTATAAGAACGTCAAATTATCTATATACAGTCCGCAGTATCTCAGTAGCCAAGAATAATTAGGGAATAAAATGTTTTTTTATTTATTCTCGCCTTCCGCGTTATGGTAGCAGCGGAGTATATCTTATTTATTCCCGTTTAGGTTTGATTAATCTGGCTGCTACATCACTCTCCCCCCAGCGAAAGCGTACCGGAGGCTTGACGACTCGCCCGTATTTCGTAGTTTTTAAAATAGGTTTCAACTGGGTTGATGTAGATGATGAATTTTCAAGCTTCCTCGCTGGTGGTTTTGATGATGATGATGAATCCTCTGCAGTATCCTCGTTAATAATATAGGCAGGCTTTAGTCGGTCGATCGATATAATCGTAGATTTCCTTCCGGGTATTTGTAGTTTAAAAGTCTTGCTATTTCTCTCTAATACTTTATACGGTCCATCGTAGGTAGGTTGAAATTGTTTTTTCATTGCGTCGTTTCTTACAAAAACTTGTTTGCATGTTTTCAAATCTTGGTGAATGAATACTGATTTATTATTTCTGTGTGATTGCATTTCGGTGCATTTCAACGATAAGGCTTTGTTAATTGATTCTCGAAGTTTAGTTACGAAATCGTAATCCATTTCTTGTTTGTTTGACGCTGCTGAACTGAAGAAGTCACACGGCAGCCTTATGCTGCAGCCGTAGGTTAGCTGAGCGGCGCTAAGACTAGTGTCTGCACGCGGTGTTGCTCGTAGTCCGAGTAGCACTGTAGGTAGCTCATCAATCCACTTTGTATGTTGAGATAAACGAGTTTTGAGTGCAGTCTTTAATGTACGATGCCATCGTTCGATTATTCCGTTTGACTGAGGATGGTATGCTGTTGTACGCGTCTTCTGTATTCCCATAGTTTGAAGAAGTTTGATGAATAGGTTGCTTTCGAAATTCCTTCCTTGATCCGTTGTGATGGTTTTAGGTGATCCGAAACGAGTAATCCAATTTTCATAAATTATCTTCGCGACGGATTCGGCTGAAGTATCATTGGTAGGTATTGCTTCTGGCCATCTTGTTGTTCTGTCGATCATTGTTACGAGATAACGATGTCCTTGCGGTGAAGTAGGTAATGGTCCAACGATGTCAACGTGCAAGTGTTCGAATCTCTCCGTGGGTGGAAATGTAGCTAGACTACTTGATGTATGCCTTTGTACTTTGCATTTTTGGCATTGAATGCATTGCTTCGCCCAGTTGCCAACATCCGCTTGCATTGCAGGCCAAAAGAATTTTTCAGTGATGAGTTTTCTTGTTGTTCTAACACCTGGATGACTAATGTTGTGCAGTGTATTGAAGACTTCGCGACGACATTCTTCTGGTATGTATGGTCGCATGGTTGTCGTTGAGGCTTCACAGTATATAGGTAGATGCGTCATTGGCATTGTAACTTGCTTGATGGACAAGTTACCTTGCTTCGATAGATGTTTTATGTTGTCACTATCTCTGTCTTGTGCTGCGGCGATCTTATGATAGTCGATTGATGTAGGGCACGTTACACTGTCGATTGGTACGCGATTGAGTGCGTCGGCAACTATGTTGTCCTTTCCACTGATGTGACGTATGTCGGTCGTGAATTCACTTATGAAAATAAGTTGTCTTGCTCTTCGTGGCGTTTCCGATAGTGATGGTTTCTTTGGAAGTACATATGTTAATGGCTTGTGGTCGGTAAAAACGATCAGGTTTCGACCCTCGAACGTTTTTCTGAAGTGCTTGATAGCCATGTAAATAGCGAGTAGCTCTCGGTCGAATGTACTGTAGTTACGTTGAGTATCGGAGAACTTCTTCGAAAAATATCCAAGTGGTTGCCATTTCCCATTGCTGTATTGTTGGAGAACTGCTCCTGCTGAGAGATCGGATGCGTCGCTGAAGATAGCAAGGGTTGCTTCGTGTGATGGGTGAGCGAGTAAAGCTGCATTTTGGATCGCAATTTTACAAGCTTCAAATGCCTTCGTGGCTTCATCGTTCCATTCGATTGACGTTTTATCTTTTTTCTTCGTGTTGTGAAGGTAGGCGTGAAGTGGTGCTTGGATTTCAGCGGCTTTAGGTATGTGTTCTCTGTAAAAATTTATCATCCCGAGAAAACGCCTTAGCTCTTCGATAGTTTTAGGTTTTGCATAATCGATGATTGCTCTGACTTTTTCGGCAGGCGGTTTTATTCCTTCCTTGCTGACGGTGAAACCAAGAAATTGAACTTCTTGCTGTCCAAATATGCATTTCGAAGGGTTGATTGTGATTCCGTTGTCTTCTAATCGCTGTAGCACGGTGCGTAGATGGGTTTCGTGCGTTTCTTTATCAGGGCTTGCAACAAGGAGATCATCAATAAATGCGAAAACGAAATCCAGTCCATGAAGTACTTCGTGTATGAATCTTTGGAAAGTTTGACCTCCGTTCTTTAATCCTGGGATCATTATTGGGAATTCGAATAATCCCATTGGGGTAATTATTGCTGTCTTCTCTATGTCTTCATCGCGGACTCTTATTTGTTGGTAAGCTCGGTTGAGATCGATGGTGGAGAATATAGTCTTGTCTGATAGTTGATGAGTGAAATCCCTGACTCGCGGTATTGGGTAGCGGTCAGGAGTGGTAATAGAATTCAGTCTTCTGTAATCTCCACAAACTCGTAATTCTCCGTTCTTCTTCGGTACAATGTGAAGTGGTGATGACCAAGGGCTTTTGCTTGGACGGCATATTCCTTGCTCAATCATGTTTTCGAATTCCTTTCGAACTTGCTCGTATAGGTGTGGTGCGATTGGACGTGCACGACAATGAAGTGGTGGTCCATTGGTGTCGATGAAATGCTCAACGTCGTTCTTCGGTGTTAATTTCATTGAAGTTATTCTTGTGATACCAGGGTATTCTTCGAGGATCTTGTGATACGGTTGTTGCACATCTATGCTTCTTATTGTGGGCAGATTGGTTGCTTGTACAAAAGACTGAGATGCAAGATTGGTTTTCCCGTCGATGATTCTTCTATTTTTGATGTCGACGACCAACTGGTGATGTTGAAGAAAATCAGCACCGATGATTGGTTTGCTGACTTTAGCGACGATAAATCTCCATTTGAATGGTCGGTGTAGATTAAAATCAAGTTCCATTGTTTTTTCTCCATATGTAGGAATAACCGTATTGTTTGCTGCATAGAGTTGAAAATCTAGTGGCTTCAACTTCTGTCCTTGCTTCGGCGGTAACACTGAGATATTTGCTCCGGTGTCGATAAGGAAAGTATGCTTGCTTTTTTTATCGGTGACGAAAAGACGGTAGGACTTTGCTGTTACGCTGGATCCCGTCGCATCGAGCGTACTAGTTAGTTTTCCGTGTTCGTATTTTCATTTTTGAATGTACACGGTGCTGTGCATTTTCTTGCCTCGACCCCGAAACGTCGATGATAGTAGCAGTAAGGGGATCTTGATGTTGAGCTTATTCGACTTCTACTTGCAGAGCGGTTGCGACGAAAAGGTGATCTTCGGTGTTGCTGATTGCGCTGGTTGTACTGTTGCTGGTAAAAGGTATGATGCTGGGAAGCTTTGAGCGCGGCGACTTCGAATGATAGCTTCCGAATTTCTTCGAGAAGAAACTGGGTATCATTGGCCTTTGTTGAAGTGCCTTCGATGATCGATATGTGTGAGCTACTGCTGTTTTCGATCATCTTGTCCGCCAGGAGTGCCAGTTCGTCGAGCTTCGTCTGCGTGCTGAATGTTTCGCTGACTGCTATTACCGATCGAATATGTGGTGGTAGGTGGTTTACCCACATTAGCCGTAGTGTTGAATCCGGAACTTTATCTCGCGCCAAAGTACGCATTTTGCGTAGGAGTTGTGTGGGTTTCTGGTCTCCAAGTTCTATTTCTGATAGAAGTTTTTGTAGCTGTCGACTGTCGGATTCTTCGTATGCGGAGATCAGCCGATCCTTCAGTGAATTATACTGGTCGACTGCTGGTGGGTTGTACAACAGGTCCGCAATTTGTTCGATGTCTTGTTTCTCAAGTTGGGCTATCACCATCTGTGCTAATTGCGCTTGGCTCTTCTTTAAACCATTCGTTGCGGCTTCAAAACTGACGAACCAAAGTC